GAGGACAATGGCATCTGATGATCAATAGTGTCCAGAAGTTGTCGGAGTGAGATAGAAATGTGGTCTAGGCTCTCTGCCTTCAGGGCGAAACTGGTATTTTTTAAGACATTGTTTAACTTTAAATTTTTTGCCCTTTTGTCCAGATAAATATATATTCCCCCCTCTGACAAATAAATGTATGTCAAAAATTACAGCTTTGGGGGCGAGGGAAAGACGAGGCATGAGGCACAGCTCCTTTACAAGACCACCTGGGACGAGTCTCAAGGCCTGACGCCCTTTTGGTAACACATTGGCTCTACCACTGCCCAGGAAGGCGGGCTGGGGCAGCAGGGAAGACATGTCCAAGGCAAATCTTGTAGCCACACTGCCGTGCACGTCCTGTTATTCTTTTTTGTCACCATGGGAAGGGAATGGCAGCAAAAAGCAGCATCCCTCTTATACATGGAGAAACAGATTCTAGAGTGAGGAAGACCATAGCACCCTTTGCCCTTATGAGAAACCCATAATAGCGAAGTGTGTAAACATGGGGACTGTGGACTGCCTGCCAGTGATCCCCAACTCCACTACTTATGAGCACTGTGATATTGAACAAGTTAATTAACCTCTCTGTGCCCTAGGTATTTTATCCATAACATGGCAATAATAATAATTGGTCACTTTCTTAACTGTAAAATCAGGATAATGAATTATGAGGATTAAATGAATATAAAGCACTAACCAGAATGCCTGATAAGTAGTAAGGACTCAGTATAATTTTTTCCAGAAATAATGTTCAAATGTAGGGGTAAGAGATTAAGAAAAACGGAGGGTAGACATTGGTGATTACTTCAAATAACAATGTGGAGTTATTTTAAAGGCAGAGATCCTTCAGATGCTGTGAATCGAGTCACCGAAAAGCAGAAAAGGCCACAGAAGCTTGACCATTACCTTCCAGAGAGGAACAATCAATTTTTGAAAATTTGGCTAAAAAAATACCCTTGGCTTGTATATGATGAGATACTAAATCTTATGTTCTGTGACCTGTGTCGTAAGCATGGAGTGAAGTCAAGGGGAAATCAAGTGAGTTTTTTTTATGGCACTGACAACTTTAGGACTGAATTTCTCCATGCACATCATCTCAGCGAGGCTCATGCCAGGGCTTCATTAATGGAAGCAACAAGTGGTTCTCCAGTGAACAGAGCCACCACGGAGCTGATGGTGAGGACTGTGAGCAAAGTAACCCTCGGGAGAGTAGAGAACTTATTCAGATCGTGTCACGCTATCGCCAAGACTGGACGTCCCCTCAAAGATTTTATTTGGATGTGCAAGTTGGATGACATGAAGGGTGTTGATATTGGCCCAGTATTCAGAACTAACAAATCAGCAAGAACATTTACATATTTTATTGCTGAAGTGGAACGGAAAAATCTAAGAGATAAACTAGTAAAAAGTAAGTTTTTCTCCATCATCAGTGATGGAATCACAAACAATTCAGCCAAGGAAGCTGAACTTGTCTATGTGCAGTTTGCACATGCAGGAAGAGTGCATTGCCAAGTTGTCGGGGTACAAACAGTGGAAAAGAGGGATCCTCTGGCAATAAAAAATGCCATTGAGAAAACTCTGGAGAGGAATCTTCAACTTAGGCTGTCGAACCAAGACTGGACAAAGAAACTGGTTGGTTTTGGAAGTGGCGGTGCGCCTGGCTCAGAGAGAGAAAGCAATGGGGTGGCCCTGATTTTAAGAGAAATCCAGCCATGTGTGCTGACTGTGTATTGCTTTGCACATCATCTTGAACTATCTTACAAGGCAGTGTTCCAGAGCATTCCCCTGTACAACAATGTGAGAGACCTTCTTTACAGCCTTTATCACTTCTATCATAATTCTCCTCCTCATAAAATTTCTCTGATAACTGCCTTCAAAGACCTTCGCCTCCGACCTGTGATGCCTTCTCAGGTAGGAGGCAGGAGGTGGCTTCAGGGATTACAGGCAGCCCTCCAGAACTTTCTCAAGGGATATCCTGCAATTGTCCAGCAACTGAATTCAGTAAGTAATTTTGAAATATCATACTATTTTAGTTTTTCAGAATAACAGAGAATACTTTTAATGAGCAATTTGAAATTATAATTTGGAGAAAAATAAACCGCCATTTCATTCTCAGCCTATGTTACAGGCAAATGAACGCGGAAGTGACACCAGTCATCAGAAAGCCAAAGAACTTCTAGAGTTACTTCTGCAAGCAGACATCGTTAAATTCATTCATTTCTTGGTGGATGTCATCAGTGTCCTTAGTATTCTGTCCCGAGTCAATCAGAACAGAAATTCTTCAATTGCTGATATATTTGCCACCTTACAGTCCACACTAGAAATACTCAGAATGTATCAAACAAGGTGAGGAGTTGGGGATGACCTCAGGATCTGTTAAACTAGACTGTTCAACTTGGGAAATCATTTGCCAGGTGCTTTTTCATTTAATTGTTGATTTGGGGGATTTTTTTTTTTCTCCCCAGACCAGGGCCAAAAGAACGTAGGGTGGATTCAGTCACACACTTTCATGGTAAGTGCCTCAGAGGAAAGGGAAACATTTCTGACGTGAGAAACACTGTTTTAACACATCTTATCAAGAGGCTGCGAGGCTGTTTCAGAGATGCCGGCCAAGATGTGGTGAAGGCAACCATGATTGGAAGCTTTAAGCTGTGGCCCACAAAGATAAATCAAGGTAACTATAAGCACTGACTCTGAATCCTTGTTCTTTGATTGTTTGTATGAGTGTCTTTCATGTATGTGACTTTTCCTCCTGTATATTGATTGCAGAATTGGGAGAAAAAGAAGTATCCATCCTGATTGCACATTATGAACCAGTATTGGAAGCTGCCAATGTGAAAATTGATGAAGTGGACACTGAATGGAGCATGTTGAAATTAGAGATTTATGCTAGGTAAGTGTAAGTAAACTAGTTGACGTTTATAAATATTTGGGTAAAACTTGAGTCTCAATCTTTTACATTTTTCAATTTCCCTTATAGATTTCAGAACATCCGCGAATTGACCTGGGATGTTGTGAATTCTGTTTACTTACCCAAGTATCCAAATATCTTGACACTAGTGGACCTCGTGCTGACCCTCCCTGCAAGTTCAGCTGAGGCGGAACGCGGCTTTAGTCAGATGAAACGCACCAAGTCACAGATGCATGCCAAGATCAAGGCTGATAGTATGACAGATCTGCTGATAATTCAGTTGAATTCTCCGGACATCAATAACTTTGACCCTAGGAAAGCTATCCATTTATGGAATACGAGAACACCATCTTCAACTGGTGACACAAGACCTAATTCAGATTGCTCATCAAACCCAGAAAGCCATTATGAAAGTGATTAGTAATGTGACAAATGTCAACTTTGTTATTGATCATATCAAAAAAAAGATTAGTTTCAAAAACCTGAAATTTAAAAGTACAACAGTCATCAGTCTTCACATCAAACACAAAAAGCATTTGGCATCTTCCAGACGTACAAACCGAAAATCCAAAGATTAGTTTTCTTGTAACTTTTTAATTCTATTTCTATATTCACACATTCTTTGGGTGGAAGTGTATAATTCTAAGCAATGGTGTTATTTTGATGTCATCTTTCTGGGTGTTATTGCTAAGGGTTGCCAGACTATGATCGTGGTCTGAGTTCCTTTAAGCCTGGCATAAAATTATTTTTCCTGGATAATTCTAAATGTTGGTTGCATTAGATAACTAACTAACTTAAGGCCAAATTGAAAGTTTCCTTTTGATCCATGAACAAAATTTGTAAGTTTATCTTTTTCTGCTACTGCATTGTATGTGAAGATCAAATCACTACATTTCTTGGTCAGTTAAGTAACATGGTCAAATATTATAGTGGTTTTCACATTTCACGTTAAGGTCCCCAGATAAGAAATTCCTGTGTAAACTGAAAGTATTGTCTTACAACACTTTGCTTACACCATAGCTATCAGAAACAGTGGAAATATTTTACAGCTGCACCAGAAGTTTTAAATGCTTTGAGCCTCTTCTTGGTTTCAGTAGAGTTTATTTATGGTTTCATCTTGAGGAACATGAAGGATGTATGCCTAACTTATCTGAAAAACAATGTGGTATTATATAAAGATCACTTTACTGAAATTGCTACTACCTGGGAAAGTGTTCTCACCTCTGTAGAACTGGATACTCAGATTTGATCAAAAAGGATAGAGAATTTATTTCTGAATAAGCTGCTGAATGGCCAATCATAGCAAAGAAAGAAAGATTCTGCTCTTGCTACTCAGGAAATTGCCTTCCAGATCTCAAAATTATTTATTTGGTTTGAACCAGTGAAATTTTAAAAGGATTATTGCATTTTCCTAAAGTTCAGAGGAAATGATAAAGTTCATGTTGGACTTTTAGAAATGCTAGAAATTTAGCTGTAAAAAGAAAAATTTGAGATGCTACGGCTGTGTTTCACTCTTCCTTTTCCTAAACAAAGAAGAATAGCTGTACACTCTGGACCTGAAAGATCCCTGCATACGTGTAAGAGTCTCTCCTAGCTCTGGAAGGTACCTCTGCCATGGGAGTTAGACACTTTTTAAGCAGATTCATTTGTTTTACTTTCCTGTTTCTTTTTTAATGCATGTGCATGCAATTGGAAATGAGAAACAGACTAAACAGATATGTCTTTTGGACAAGGTAAAGTAGATTAGTGTATAAGGACAAAGCATTTAAAAGGTTAATGACCTTTTATAAAATACTTCAGAATACACAGCCGATTAGATGATTATATTAGCCTTTCAAATCTGGTAATTTAACAATTAAAATCTCCCTACATTTATAAAAACAAATATATTCTGACCTAAAGAGCAAAATGAGGATAAACATGTTACCTTGATCACAGTGGTGATTTGCATGCATTTTGAAATACCTTTATCCCCTATTTACCAAAATTGTGCCCTACTGTACAAGAGGAAACGTTAGAGTACTTTTTGAAATTCAACCTATTCTGAGAAAAGATCAAAGAAGACTCCAAACTAAGACATAAAGTCTCAGTATTTTTCCCAATCTGGAATGATTTGTTACTCAGCCAAAAAAGACATTTTGACTGAGCCGAGAAAGAATAATGGAAGAACACCAGGAAATTGATGATTATTTTAATGTTTTCAAAATGTCTTCTGTTTCTCTAAAATTAGTTTAAAATAATATAAATAAAACGATTATACAAGTACCCATTATTTATTCTATTTTAGCAAAAGAAACAAATCCCTGTCCCATACTATAACTGAGAAATGTTTTTCATTGTATTGTAGGCATAATAGGAAATAAAGCATTTGCTGACATTCTGCTTGATTTGGTAACCCTGAACCTAGGAACAAACAACATCCCTAGTAGCTGGATGCACCTCACTCAAGCTGAGGTAAGTTTTAATTTTGTTTGGGTTTCAAAGCTTGGAGAATTCTTCTTATTTGATCCATAAGTCAACAGTTTTTAAATACCCAGTACTTGCACAGTATCTGACATTTAGTAGGCAACCAATAAAACTTGAATGAATGAACTTCAACTGAAGACACGTGGTATGTGCGTGCATAGGATTTGAAGAATGAGTGATGATGCCAAGTCAATGAAACCTTATGGAGACCATGAGGCACAGCCCATTTGTATCTATTACTACCAAATGGAGTGATCCTAACTAGTAATAGTAGATGGTTCTGGCAGTTCTTTCTTTCCATCATATTCTGTTCCCTAAGAATGTATCAGAAAACAAAGTGGTTAGAGAGTGTTTTCCCATGGGCTGCAGAGCCCTTGCACAGCCACAGCTATAGTCTTTATCCCTCTTCTGTTGAAAAGGTACAAAGTCAACTAGAGTCACATGTGTACATCTATTGTGTAACAGTAAGAAAAAACACAAATCTCACGGAAGCAAAAAGTGAAACACTTTCTAGGTATTGTCTGGTGTGGGTTGGTTGGTATAGCCTGAGGGAACAAAAGTCAGAACTGGCTCTACTCGCCAGTCTAAAATCAGACTTCCTTCATCTAAATGTCTTACTAAGACACATGAGCAGGTAGAGCTTCATGATGGAGTCATACAAATGTTCTAATGGCATTTCCTGTTTTCTTCTAGTTGCAGGAGTTAACATCTTTATTAGTCGTAAACTCAGAGTTTGTGGACTGGAGGAAATTCTTGTTAGTAACCTCGCTGCCTTGGCCCATCCCCCTGGAAGAGGAGCTCCTCAAGACCCTGCAGAGGTTCAAGGCTGTGGATGACGAGCAGTTGGGCACCGTCACTTTCAAGCAATATATGCAGGTTGCTACCAGCACCTGGTGGCACTAATAATGTCAGAGTACTTTTGACCTAAGAAGGGTATTACTCACTGATGTTGTGATGCCAGGTCTCAGGCCAGTGTTCTGCCCATAGATTGCCCATATTTAGGCACCCAGAGGCAGCACAGGTGCTGTCAAAGTCTCAGGCAGAAGTCTGGCTTCCACCCTTGAGGAAAGGGTCTACAAAAGGTCAGAACTGCTCAGAGAACTAAGAGTTCTGAGAAAAGTCATGTAAACTTCATTGTCCTTCTCCTAAACTCCAACCAAGTGATTCTTAACCTTGACAGTACATTAGAATCATCTGCAGAGCTTTTAATAAGCCCAATGCCCAATACTCTGGAAGTAGCAACAACACTTAAAATGAACACAGGGAAAGGGGCAGGTTTTTCTTTTTTTCCTTTTGGTCATGAGCATGGTGAATGATGAGATGGTTTTTTGCAAGTTGAGTTTGAAATGTCTGTGGGAAATGCAGACAGAAATGTCCACTCTGATATGACAGATGCAGAAGGGACTGCAAGTCACTATCATGTTGGCAGTTGTTGAATTTATGAATGGATGAGACCACCCCAAGGGAAGGGTGTAAAGTGATGGATCACTTGGTAACATGATACCTGGCCATTGGACTTGGCAGGTAGGATGTGACTGGTGACCTTTACCAGAGCAATTTTTGTGGACTACAGAATCCAGATTGCAGAAGATTGATGAAATAAATAGGTCTTTAGGAAGTGAAGCTAAGAAAAGTCAATTCATTTTTGAGAAGTTTGAGGAAGGAAGAAGTGAGAATGAAATTCTATAACCAAGAAGGGCCTGAATTATTTATTTTGTGTCTACTAGTTGAATTCATCCTATGGCTCACCATTTCACAGTGCTGGTAGAGACAAAAGATGGAAACACTTATGAGGTGCTAATTTTGAAACAGGGTGATACTCTCTAGATTCCTATATCTCATATGTATTTCACCATTGAAAGATCACATCCTTTCCGGCTTCTCTTTTCTTCCTTAATTAATGGATGGTGTGCTTATAGACAGCCTTGAGTTTCCCACGCTCGTACAGTTGAGCCAGAGGAAATAGCACTTGCATATTGAGGAGGTTCCTTCAAGACTATCAAGAAAGGTGTTTAGCTGATTGGGCTCTGATTTACTTCCCAAATAGAGCAATTTGTGAATTTTATCACTGGACTTACAACTTGTAGAGATGATTTTGTTAACAAACAAAAACAGCAGCCCAAAACTTACTCTATTATCATCGTTAGCTTAAGGTTTTAAAAAGTGAGCACTTGTGAAATTACCAACCTTCACTATTTACAGTATGTGCCAATTAACACAGGATATCAATTTAAACATCCTTTTGCACAAACATGAGATGAACAAAGGGTGTTGGCAATTTTTACCCAAGTGCTGAGCCAAAACCAGAAAGCTCCTTCACCAAAGGTGTGAATTTCTTAGAGAAAGTTGGCCGGTGCATTTCATAGAAACTCAGAAATACATGTTTGAATACCACCTATGTTTTGGGAGCAGTTGATTTCTGAGCTCTGCCCTCTCCCCTTGCCCACCCAATTCCCACTCTTCAGGAGCCCCAGGACAAGGAGGCCATTTGGAGAGGCCCACTTGACCATCTTACATGACTTTTACAGATTTCCAATGCTTGTCAGCTCACACACATACACACAGTTATTTTATGGGAAAAGTCAAAACAGCCTCTAGGGCAAAATTTTATAAGATTTGTTGAAAATGCCACATTCGAACAGTAAAATAGTATAACTGTGCTGCCGAAATGGAGTTCTCTGGGAGAAAAGGGGTCTCTGCTTTTTATTTTGTCTGTCTTCTTTCTTTTCTTTTGACTAATTTCAAGTTCACCACAACAGCCACTTAAGAGAGTGCTGATTTCCCCAGCTTCTGAAATGGAATAAGGTACAGCATTTGTGAAGCTAGTCGGGCTGTGTACCTCGGCTAAGCAATGCGAGCATAAAAGCCCATTTGCCCTTTGCTCCCAGCCCTGCTGCAGCTGTCACATGCTTGCCTCTGTCACATGTGGATGTTTAGTCACACTCAGGTAGAATTCTTTGATGTTCAACTCTCGACTCGTCTTCTGCCGGTGAGAGTGCATGTTATTATAGGCTTAATGAGTCAGATGTTCTAGGATCCAAACAGCACACAGCACTTATTTTCTAAGGAAGAGTAAAAAACCTCAAATTCTTTTGCCATATTTTAGCAAGAGAGTACAAAGTACATTTCCATCCTTTAAGGAGAAATCACCTAATAATCCATTGAGGCAGGATATGATTGATTGAACCTTGCTTTATCAATTTAAACTCTACTGTACAGGTTCACATTTAACATTTCACGTTGCTAAAATTTTCATGGATGACTTTTTAAAAATCTTAAGGTGCTTCCAATTAGGTTGTTTTTTTCTTTCTAATGTGGCCCTCTTGTAAGTGAAGCACTTTGAAACAGTTTCCTAAGCTATAAAATATCATATATTTGTAGAAAATTAATAGGAATGAATCCTTGGCTGTAAGAACCAGGAAAAAATCCTGTGCTGTGAAACAACTGGATGCGGAGCTGAGAGCTGGTTGAGAAATGGGGGAAGGAGTAAGGATCCTATCTCTGTTTCTTATTTTCCCCCTCTAGCTTCTTTTAATATTTTCTTTTTATCACTATTTTTCACCAATTTAATGATTGGGTTTGTTGGTGTGGTTTTCTTCATGTTTATTCTGCTTGGGGTTCATTGAGCTTCCTGAATTTGTGGGTTTGTAGTTTTTGTCAAATTTTCAGAATTTTTTCCAAATATTTCTTCTACTCCCCCACCCTATCTCAAAAGCCAGTCACATGTTTGTCCCACTGGTAGTCACTGACAGTTCATTTTTTCCAGACTTTTTTCTCTCTGTGCTTTATTTTGTATTCATTTCTACTTCTGTGTCTTCAAGCTCACTGATCATTTCCTTTGCACAGTCAAATATTAATACCATCCAGTGTATTTTTAATTTCAGATATTATATTTTTTTATCTGTAGAATTTGGGTCTTTTTTCTATCTTTCATCTCTCTTTTCATTATGTGCATGTTTTTCTCCATCTCCTTGAACAAAGGGAATATATTTGGAGTACCTAAATGAACATCTTTGTTTATTCTATCATCTGTGTCAGTTTTGTGTTTATTTCTATTGATTGATATTTCTTCTGACTATGGGCCATATATTATGGCTTTTTTGCATGGCCTAGTCACTTTATATTGGATGCCAGATATTATGAAGTTTACATTGTTGGGTGCTCAGTTCTGTATAACTTTGAATATTGTTGAGCATGCAGTGATGTTACTTGGAATCCGTTTTATCCTTTCAAGGTCACATCAAGATGTGTAAGTGTGAGTCCAGAGTAGCCTCTAGTGTAGGGCTAACCTGGCCCCACCACTAAGGCAGTAGCCTGTTGCGGGCTCCTCTACCCAGTACCTTGTGTATTAGGAGGTCCTTCTGCTCTGCCTAGTGGGAAAAGGAACTATACCCAGCCCTGTGTGAGTCTCAGGAATTGTTCAGCTTATTCCTTTCCTGTGGTTCTTTCTCCAGCTTCTGATGTTTTCCACACACACAAACATCCACAGATAGGCTCTCAGGCAAGACTTGAGGAGATTTCCCTGCAGATCTCTAGGGCTCCCTCTTTCTCTCAGTGCATCTTGAGTATTCTGCCCTGAAGATTTCAGCCATTTTGGCATCCCTCAACTCCAGATCTGTCTTCTCAACTGTGCAAGACCACCAGGCTCTATTTGGATGCCTCTCCTGGCACCGCAGCCTGGAAAGTCCCTCCAGGCTGGAACAATGGTAGGACTCCTCATTTGCTTTCCTTATTTCAGGAATCTATCGTTTTTGCCTGTTGTCTAATGTCTGAAAAGTCATGTTCCATATGTGTTGTCCATTTTTCTTGTTGTTTAAGGCAGGAGGGTAATTCTGAACTTTGTTGCTCCATCATGTCCCAAAGCATAAATCTTACCTATGTTCCTCATCTCTCTGTTCTCCCACAGAGTGGTACTTATCCTCCACAGATGAGCTGCTGGGCAAGGGTCTCCTCCTAAACAGTGCGAAAGCGCTTACATGCAGAGCCTGAGCCCAAAGCTGTACCTTAGCTTCTTCTAGGTCTTCTCCCTCACAGGTTTCCACATGGCCAGCATCTCCCACCTCAGCACTCCTTTGTTCCAAATGAAAAGAAAACTCAGTCCTCACCTCTGTGGGCTGCATCCCCTTACAGGCCACCCAAGGCCATTCCAACCTTCTCTCAAAGCACAGGTGATCCTTGGAAGGAAACAGGCATAGAGTATATGCCAGAATCAAGTTAGGGAAGCCAATGGCTCTTGGCAGTAGGCAGTACTGAGAGTAGGTTGTCACTCTGGAAGATGTTAAAGGAGCAATACCTGAGAACAAAACGCTTATGTATATGAAGTGCTTGCCATGTATAAAAATTAAGCTGGCAAGACACATTCTTTGAACCCAATGAGTTTATTACCGATGTTCAACAGCAGATACGATTGGCAACACCCAAGGGAATGGACTAAATGCCAAATGTCTAGTATAAACAAGTCAGATTGGTGTTCAGAGGAGAGATCAAGGAGGGCCTCCCAGAGGAGGGGTGATCTGAATGAGATTTAGGTTGACATGGATAGTCAGGAAGCCACCTCAGGTAGGAGGGAGGATGTGAGCAAAAAAGCGAAAGTAGTAAATGGTTCTTAGTGGAGAATGATATGACGGATTAAAGTTTTGAGAAAATGGATATAGTTGTATGGTATAAGCTGAAACAAATAAGAGAGAGATTGGAAACAAAAACAGCTCCCAGGTTCCTGGAGTAGCCTGTGACAGAGGTAATGAGGCTCTACACCAGCGAGGCAGCAGTGGGAATGGAAGGAAGGGTGAGATGGGAGCGGCATGCCTAATGGGCATCGAGGGACTTGGTAATTGGTGTCAGATATGGGCTGAGAAAGAGGGATGTCATTAAAATGTAAGCCACTGAGCTATTGAGTCAGTCAGTCACTCAACAAAGTCAGTCACTCACTCAACAACATGCACCAGCACCACACTAGGCTGTGAGAACAGAGAGCAACACAAACAGGACATTTGGGATGTGAGCTAGTGTTATGGGCACAGAGCCCTCCCAAATGTTGCTATGCAAGCAGAATCTAAGGCAGTGACCTCCAAGCTTCATCACATTCTCCAGCAGTTAAAACAGCTAGTCCCCTCAATGTGTGGATTTTCATTTATAAATCATACATGTGTACTACTGCACTAATACATTATATACATTATCAAATTTTTAAAAATAAAAATTACAAAAGAATGAGAGCAAAATACATATGAATAGAAGTTCTAGTATTTTCTCCTGCATCCCCGTGGTTTCTGCACCCTGCTTTGGAGAGCACTGCTTCAGAGACCTGAACAAGATGTGCTCAATCTCTGTGGCTTTTAGAGGAACAATTACATCTCACCGTAATACTTTAATGATTTTCATTTTTATTTTTCGTATAGGCTGGTCTGTGGTTTAAGGGAGATGAAGATGTAAAAATTCCAGAAAATCCGCTTGAACCCCTGCCATTCAATAGGCAGGAGCATCTTATAGAGGTATTTACTGAGTTCTTTTGAAAGTTTGGTACTATCACACTGATCAATTTCTTTGTCTTTTCTGTCACTTGTGTAATTTGTTTTAGATTCCACCCCACCCCCCCGGTTCTTTTGCTTTATCCTCAAAACACAGACTTTAATATTTGCTAAGGCAGCATGGAGGAGTTCTGGGGGTGGAGGCAGGGGCCAAAATCTTAGGTAGAGGCCCTCAGTTAACTCTCTGTGTGGTCTTGGGCAATTTCCATACCCTCTCTGGGTTTCTCTTCGTTCATCTGTCAAATAAGCTAAGATATAAGTCAACATATTTGTCTCCAAATGTCCTTCCAATTCTAAAAGCTTAGGATAAGAACTGTCATTTTACCTATATAGGTTTTTGTTCATTCCCCTTTGATTTTGACTAACTTGTGCAACATACCAAGGGTTTGCATACAATATTGCCCATAATCTGTCAGATGATTATTATTATAAACAATATTATCATTATTAATATTAATATTAGCCTCTAACCCTGAGGCCACAATAGAAAGTAAGACCTTAAAATCCGAACCACTCTGACTTCAGTGTAATTGTTTAAAATATAAAAATATACCTAACACAGCCAAATTCAATAAGATATGAGGAACGTTGGATGGTAGATTTAGACATCACAGCAAACTGTGTATATCAATCCTTCAATTTCCAGCCAGCCATTAGTTCAATTGCAGTACAAAATTGAACATGACTCCAATTACAGCCTTAAAATGAGCAATTCCCTTCAATTGGACACATATTTTTTGAGTGCCTCTGCTAGATGCTAGCAGGTGAGAAAAAGGGGTCAGGGAATTACCAAAAGGGTCCAAGATGCGAGGCTGGCAGTTGTAGGGGTAGTTTTTTGTTTCAGTTGTTGTTGTTGTTGTTTTAATGTGAAACTGGAGGACTGAGATCACTTCTCCTGAGGAGCTTTTGGAAGGCCCTCTCTATATGATTTTGTGAACAAATCTGCCAACAACATAAACAGATTCTTCATTACTTGGAAGAAACTTTCAGTCTGAATTTGATGCCAAGTAAAAAGCACTTTCCTTTCCAGCCTGAAGTTTTGAGAAATGTCAGTCTAGGGCGGAGGCTTTTAGTTGCTCCCCCAGCAGCTAAAGCCAGAAGGTGGAGGGTGCTGGTCAGCCTGAGGACTTCGAGGCTGTGAAACAGGAAAAGGCCTTTGGGTACAGAGGAAGGTGTGGCTCCCACGTGCCACTGCCCCAATTGCTGGAAAGTGACTTGGAGGAAAGAAACAAAGTTGGGGGCAGAGGCAGGACCATGAAGCCTGAGAAAGAGTGTTGTTATGGGGGAAAGGATGGCTGACTGATGTGTGTATGTATTTTTGTGAGCAAGCAAGCATACGTGCGTGCGTCCGCCTGTGTGTGTGTGTGATATCAAGAGGACAGAAGGGAATGGTGTCTTCCATCCCTCACTGCCTCAGGGACTGGATGCTCAGTATTACATAAATCTCAGTGCTCTTAAACTGGGATTAAAAGCACAGATTCCACTGCTTACAAGCTGTGAGGTCTTCCATGAAGCTAGCTGACTTCTCTGTGCTGTGGTTTATTTTAATCTCTTTCTGGTGGGGTTGTTGTGCGGCATGAGTTCCTACACGTGGTACTCTTAGAGCAGTGATTGGCACATAGTAAGCCCTACGTAAGTGTTAGCTAAGCAGAAGCTAACCATGCTAACTATCCATGGTTAAACAGTAGTTAATGGTTAGCATGCTAAAGAAAAGTGCTCAAAGAGAAAACATAAAACAACAAAGCAAGTTTACTTCTTTGGCTGTAATTAGAATAGGAAAGACCAAATCAGGAAACAAAATGCCCCCCTGAAGGGGGAGGGCAGAGGGTCAGGAGCCCTGGGCTCTTCCCCCAGTTCTGTCATGACTCACTGTAGGACCTTGAGCAGGTCCCTCCACCTCCTGGGGTCTCTGTATCTTCTTAAGAAGAGGGTTTGGGCTACAATCTAGGGTCCCACCCACCTCCCCTGCTTTGTCATCTGTGCTCTCCATGATCCAGGGCCTGCCTCTGAGCTACGCCCTGCAGGGGCTTCTGGAGACAGGCCATTACCACAGTCCATGGGCTTGGATGACCACAGAGTCCCAGACACTGAATGAAAGGTCCAGCTGCATCCAAAAAGGAACCCCACCACATGTCTGTGTTGCAATCAATCATTGTCCCCTGACAGTGACAATGTACTTCCTTATAACTGAGAGGTTCAACAGGCCGTGTCCTGGCTCCACAGCTTTCCACACTCAAGACCAAGAGCAGCTAGTCCAGTACTTTAAAAATCCTTAGGAATTTCCTGAGAAAAGGCAATTGAATTTTACTGTATTTAGATTTACAGGTGTTGTCTTGATCTCTTCTCCACAGCTTCTGTCCATGCGAAATCCTTCCATTACTTTGGGCTATTAATATTTTTGAAGCCAGGCTCATGATTTGAAATACTAGCTATTTGCTAATGAATCCTAAATGTCTAATTTCCACACCAAATCTAGACTCCTAGATACAACTGCTTATTTGACATCTCCACTTGAATATTCTAGTAGAGTCTCAAACTTGCCACATCCAAAACTGTGTACCCGATCTCCCATCCCTGCCACCCCACTGCTCCCATCTTCACCTAAAGCCCTCTCCATCTCAGTCAGTGGAAACTCTGTTCTTTCAGTTGCTCAGGCCAAAACCCTAGGGGTCATCTCCATTTTTTCTCTTTTTTTCAAAGCCCACATCTAATCCCTTAGGAAATCTTGGTAGTTCCACCTTCAAAATATATCCAGGATCAGACCGCCTCTTCCAAGCCCCAGTGCTGTCACTGGAACAAGCCACAGTGCACTTCACCTGGATGACCGCAACAGCCTCACCACAGGTCTCCCTGTTTCTCCCTTGTCTTAGCTCAGATTACAGGCAGGTCATGGCAGCCTCCACTCAAACCCTCCCACAGCTCTGAGTTTCATTCAAAGGAAAAGCCAAAGTCCTTAAGCGGTCAACCTGGCCTTGCATCTCCTGACCCTTTTCCCTCTCTCACCTCATCTCCTGCTGTTCTGCCCTGGCCCACTCTGCCTCAGCCACCCTGGCCTGCTCCTATTGATCAAATGTGCAAGGTGTGCTTGCACCTTAGGACACTGGCCTCAGCAGTTCCCTCTGCCTGTAATGCTCTTGCCCTGGATGACATACTAGCTAGCTTGCTGCCCTCCTCCAAATCTTTGTTCGAATTTCACCTTCTCAGTTCTGCAATCTGCCCCCTCCCCACTCTTCACTCCCAATTCCCCTTTCCTTAACCTGTTTCCTGTATTTTAAAATCACTGTCTAATTTACTTAATTTATTTTATTTATTCTTTATTGCCTATCTTCCTCCTCTAGAAAGTGAGCTCCTCAAGAGCAGGCATCTTTATCTCTTTCCTAGTGAATGCATTTTAAGCACCTAGAACAGTCCATGCCTAGCACATCATAGGTGCTCAGTAAGTGTTTGTCAATACCTGTGTATTATCTCACAGTTCTGTAAGTCAGAAGTCCAGGTCTGACTCAGATGGGTCCTCTGCAAAGGGTCTCACAGGGGTGAAATCAAAGTGTCAGATGAAGGTGCAACCTCATCTGTGGCCAATTCCAAGATTGGCTTCCAAGATGGGTTGCTGGCAGAATTCGGATCTGTGCAGTTGTAGGATTGAGGCCTTCAGCTCTGAGAGGCTACTAGTTGTTCCCTGCCACATGGTCCCTCCACAACTTGTTTCTTCATGGCCAGCAGAAGAGCATCTCTCTGACTTCAAATCTCTCCCTGAAGGCCTGGGTCCTTTTTTAAATGGCTCACCTGATTAGTTCAGGATCCCTTTTGATTAACTTAAAATCAACTGATTAAGGACCTTAACTGTATCTGCAAAATCCCTTTATCTCTGCTATACAAGGCAACCTACTCATGGGAATGACTTTCCCGTCAAGTTCATAAGTCCCACCTGCACTCAGGGGAAGGGGATTATACAAGACATGTACACCAGGGGGTGGGAGCCTTTGAAGCCTTCTTAGAATTGTGCCTACTACAGTATTTTAAACAATCTTAAGAACATAGCAAACCTGACATTTTTGAATGTCCAGTCCATTGATTTAAAATCAAGCCTGTGCAGGGGCCAGCCCAGTAGTGCAGCGGTTAAGTTCACACGTTCCACTTTGGTAGCCCAGGGTTTGCCAGTTCGGATCCCAGGTACAGACCTATGCACCACTTATCAAGCCATGCTGTGGCAGGTGTCCCACATATAAAGTAGAGTAAGACAGGCACAGATGTGCCATCTCAGGGCCAGTCTTCCTCAGCAAAAAGAGGAGGATTGGTGGCAGATGTTAGCTCAAGGCTAATCTTCCTCCAAAAAAAAAAAATCAAGCCTATGTAATTACAGAAAGAGTCCACATATGAACTGACTTTAATTTTGCACATCTTCCATCAATATATAATATTCAGCTTCTTTTTTAGTGGAAATAATGATGTCCTGCACCTGTATAGCATTTATAAGAGCAGTTCAATGGGAGCAATACTAAAGTTCAGCTCTTCATGTGAAAGAAATGGAAGATATGCACCCAAGGACCATGCCACAGTGATTGGTTAGTGTCAGTCTCCCTTCTCTCCCTATCCTGCTGGAAGTCCCTGAAGCACCTCAAAGGCAGGTGGGAAGATGGAGAAAATACAAGGTCCTGAAGGAAGCCTGCCAGCTGGATCATGACTCCTGAAAAATCAAAGGATGCCTTGCTGTCAGAGTGTTCTTGAGCATCTCAGCCTAGCTCTGTGCCTGGCTTGTAGCAGACACTCATAAATGTTTGATAAAAGGGTGACTGAATAGATAAACTTGAAGATCCCATTGACCCCTAAGATTCTTTTCTGCTTTGTAGCATAACCAACTTTATGCATTTTCCTATCAAAGTTATTTTTATTTAAATTTTTATTTGATTTGTGAAATATCAGAAATTTATTTTTCCAACTGTTATCTTCATATCTGTCTAGGTAAATTTGTTCATAGTTGTGACGATTGTTGGTAATAGAGAATAACATCGTATCTCTGGATCCAGGCTCTTGCGTCTTAAGGTGTAGGCCAGGACCAGCAAAATTGGAATCACCTAGGAGCTTGCTAAACATGCAGAACTTACCTGCTGCAGAACCATCTATTTAATCAGAATCTTTGTTTTGAAAAGATTCTGCAGGTCACTGAATGCACATATTGGAGAAGAGCTGGTCAAGGAAACCAGCCACTTCCCCAAACAGGGGCATGTAGGCACTTAGGTGCTTAGATGTGGACTGTGTGTCCCAGGGTTTGAGCCTCCACTTTGCCAGACCCAGGAGGATATCAGGTTCCCAAGCACTAACCATTCATGCTGCCAAATGCACAAGACACTGCATCCAGAGCTGTCAGCTCAGTCATTCAGAATGAGAGAGACTTGCCGAACAAACTGATATCTAGTGGTTGGTCTACTCTCTCCCTGAGTGTGAGTACACACTGGAAGAAGTCATGTGATGCTCAATAGATTGAGTATAACATCCAGAGCAATGTGGGCCAGTTAAAGGGTTTTAATGGCTAGAGTCCCAGTGGCTTTGGGCATCATCCCCTTCCCCTCTTGCCACTCCTCACAGAGAGGGATGTACCAGAAACTTCATATTTAGGAGTCAGGGCCCAGTTTGTGGGAATGGTGCTAAGGATAGACAGATGTGTCCTCACTCCAGTGGCTCCCTTTTCCTACTTAACATGTAGTCCCCACAACCTTTAATTAGTGCATTATTTCATAAATGCTATTGATAACGATTAGCATACAATTTTCTTTAATATTAGAATTTTGAGCCCTATTTTTCCCATTTTTTTTTTAAATTTTACTTAGCATGCTCTTCAGTTAATACCGTTCATTATACGTTAGTTTACTAATTCGGTCCTTAGAAAGTGACCTTATTCCAAAGCTTCTGGAGAGATTCTTCCCTTTCTGTCCATCTACCGACTATCGGAGTATTGCATTTTATCTTTGGTTGAAATTCTTTTGTGTGACAGTTTTTCTTTAGGTTATTTGCTGACTATGAGAAGAATCCACCCCAGCTTGACTACACACAGATGCTGCTTTATTTTGCTTGCCATCCGGACGCTGTGGAAGGGGTCTACAGGGCCCTCAGTGTGGCCATTGGGACTCATGTCTTCCAACCAATTGAAACTCCTAATCTTATTACAGAAAAGGTAATTATGTTCCAGAAATGGACTAGCATTGGGGTCTGGACGGGGATGCCAGAAGATCCTAAACTTCTAACAACAGAGACTCTCTTTTTTTGATCTCTGTATTTTCCCATGTACCTAACATAATGCTTTACACATTCTAAGTCTTCAATAAGGCCTTTCTCAATTGGATTGAGAACTGAGGACCCAATATCCAAAGAATGCTTTTGTAGTAAAACCAAAATTTGCTCAGAGTTTCTTGGTAGAGTCAAAGTTTGCTCTATAAAGGACAGCCGTTATTTTGCACGAAGTGCTGATCCTGATGAAGCAAAAAGAGCTGAGTATCAACCCAATCTATTTGTCATACTATGTGGAAATTCTACGTAAAGTAAGTTCAGGCCTCAGACACCTCCCACATATATGTGACACTTGACAGTGTTAAAGGCCAAAGCCTGGCCACCTGAAATTCACAGGCACTCTGTATCTCCTGCATCCAAGGACAAAAATGCTTAATATCTAATAAAACCTCACATCCCCCTTGAGATTTCTAAGGGGTTGATATTCCCTGGCTTTTTCAGGTAGAAAAGCTCAGAATAGGGTAGTAACTAATGTACTTCTCAGATGCCCATTGGAGTGACTTTTTAGTCTTCCCCTGACCTTTTGGGGACAGAGTTGTGACCCTCATGATGGAATGCCTTTTTCTGTTCTTCCTTTGTGGACGTAGAGGAAAGAGGGGTGCTGCCCACTCCAAACTCATCAGATGTCCTAGCCACACTTCTTTTTCTTTCACACATGTCTGTCAAAGTAAAGTATTCTGGGTATTCTGAAAAAAAAAAAAATGGGAAGTTCCTATGACAGCTTTCATTCTGGGAAGCAATAGAACTAGAACTGTTACCATAACAACCGACAGCTGCATGGGTGGGTAGCAGCCAGGCCAGCTGGCACCGCAAGGTCCTGCATCCCTTTTGTCCCTGAACCGCTCATTCTCCATAAGCTAGTGCCTCCACCCAGGAGGCAGCTCCCCTGGAGTGCTTCTCTCAAGAGCTCTTTTAAAGTCCAAAGACACTGCACAAGACCTGACCCAGGATCACTGCACAACAGAGGTGAAACTGGGGTAGAGTGCGAGAGATGGAGTGCGTGTCTGTCACTCTAGCCTGTTCCTGGCTTGGGGTGAACCCTAGGAGCTTTTGAAATACAAGATCCAAACACCTCCCTCATTCTTGCCTACCCCTTGACCTCGCCATCCTGCCTCCAATTATGTGGCTCCACTTCTGTACCCTTTCCAACTGTGTTCTAGTTTCCTGGGCAACCTCATCCCAGAAAGCCATAATGAGTCTGCTCAGAAATAACACCTCCAACAGATCCATATTCCCTCCCAAGACATTTAATCAGATCTCTGCTTTTGCTTTCCGCATAAACAACTGGAAATCTCCCCGATGTTTTACTTTTCCTTACACTATTTCAGCAACTCTGCACTGAACACTGTGTTATTCAATATGACACAGACCTTCTGTTTAAATCCACGGCGTCTCAGGCGATTTAAAAGAAGCTCAAGAGTAAAGCATTCGTGAGTCGTGCACTAGTCCTACTGAAGCTTTCAATAAGTTGACATTTGGGTAAATGGTTCATTCTGGCCTGTGTGGTGTGGGGCCATGATGTTGCAATTCAGTAAATTGTGAGCTTGAATCTCCCACATTTTGAAAGTCTTGTTACAACATCTTGGCAGAGTGTTTGAAGCCCTGGTATTTGAAACATAAATGTTTATTCTAATCTGCACTTTGGCGCTTTGCGCACATCAGTCCCAAGGATTGACCTTCTGTTCTGCCTCTGAGATGTGGGACTGAACTGATTGAATGGTAGAAATGCGTGGTGAGACACCATTCCCGAGACACATTTATTGGGAGTCCTAGTGGGCTGCCTCTGAGAGTTAGCCAAGTGTGACATAGTGTTTGCTAGAGCCACCATCTGTCCCACTTCTTAGATGATAATGTGACTCACACAGAGTTTTGATGCCCCTAATGACTGCTCATTTAGAAGCACTGGCTTATCTTCAACGTGGCATCCCTGGTCTTGTTCATACACCCATATTCAAAATCGTCGTCTTTCAGAGATGTCTGTTGGAGAGGGCCCGCTTCCGTTGCACACCCTGCTGTCCCGCCAGGATGCTGAGCTGGCTCCTTTGTTCCCCATCTCAGCCTCCCACCCCTCCCTCCCCTCCCACTGAGCCACTAAGTCTATTCTGTCCCACCTCCTAGAGAACAAAATTAGCAAAAGTTTTAAAAGCATCCTCTGACATTATTAAGTTAAGGATTCTTCAATCTAGAATTTCACATGTTTAAATTGTTAGGTTTTGGCTAAAATTAAAAATTCATTTATCCCATTATGATTATATCAGGCCTTTGAGAAGTTAGTCCGTCTCTACTTATGGAAATAGTGCAGAGAGACCAGGTTCCTTCTCTGTTTAATTTTGGTATCACCTGCTCATACGACCTGACTAGTCATTTGCTCACGCACAGGTTCTGTCTTTATCTTGGCCACACAGCATCTGTGCTGCATTCATTCATCCTTCACTCACTCAGCAAGACGTTTTACGTCTTGACTCTGTTCATTTTACTATGCTAAACGTTCTGTTGCCCTGGGAAATTATTGACAGGTAGCCAGTGTGGTGATCTCCAAGCTTCCTAGGTGGAGACACAAAGGCCAGTTTCACATTTCTGCCATAGCATTTCAGTTGTTTAAAATGGAGATGAGGGGGCTGGCCCAGTAGCATAGTGGTTAAGTTTATGCACTCTGCTTCGGCAGCTCGGGGTTCGTGGATTCAGATCCCGGGCAGGGACCTACACACTGCTTATCAAGCCATGCTGTCTCAGTGTCCCACATACGAAAAATAGAGGAAGATTGGCACAGATGTTAGCTCAGGGCCAATCTTCCTAACCGAGAAGAAAGGAGATGAGGCTGAATAGATAGATGGATAGATAGATAGATATACTTAATTCCTAAAACTTAACCTGATAGAGCCTTCTCTCTGTCTCTCTGTCTCTCTCTCTCTCTCTCTCTTTCTTTCCAAGATTAGATTAAACTCCCAATTTATGAAAGGAGAGAAACCTCCTAAGGTGAGGTGACCACACAGAGCTAAAGCAAATGCAGCCTGTTCATTACCCTACCCACAGTCTCTACAAATCCCTTCTAGGGACTGATGAATACCAGGGCCTTAATTTTGTGCTGTGCCATAATCCTTTTATATATGGGAATTACATAACTATTTGGAAAGAATTTGCATGATCTAGGCACTAAGTGCTTCTACTGAATTGAATATTTACAGACATTGGCACTCTCTTATCTTAAGCCTAAATTAGTATTTTTCTAATACTAATAGATAGATACTAAGATTTTCTAATACTAAGAGATAAAAGAATTAACAGTCAGATGTTCTCTGATGTTTGGCCAGTCAACATTCCAAAAATGCCCATTATTCTGTGGCAAATCATCAAATATTGATTACCTCATCATCAGAAACACATACAGCCCTATGCACACATATATACACATTTATTATAGTAAATATAAGAAATACAAATCTATTGGAGAGAATTTGGAAAGTACAAAACAAAGTGAAAAAGTAATCACTGTTCCACTTACCAGAGGTAACAATTGGTAACTCATTAATGTATCTGTTTCTTTTTTTTCACGTGTTAAGTATAGATATATAAGAAAATGAATGTTAGTGTATTTATTACTTTGTGTTCTGTTTTCTTTATACACTTATTCTGTGAGTGTTTTCTCATGTCACTAGGTATTCTTCTAAACCATAATTTTCATGGCAGTATAGTATTCCATCACAGAAATATACTGTAATTTATCTCACCATTCCCCCAGTTTCAGAATCATAGGTTTTCAGTTTTTGCTGTAAGTAACACTAAATGAATGTACAAAAGTCTTCATGCACACGTATATTTCTTTAGAATCAATTCCTAGATCTATAATTACTGGGTCAAAACTAGGGATGTTTTTCAGACTTTTGATACCTAAGAAATTACTTCAGAAGCAATGTACTCTGTACCATACTCAAAATACCAGTGCCTGAGTTCATGGCTCTTGGCCAAGTTGCAAAGAGCAGCAATAAGATCCCAACCTGACTTTCTATATTCAGTTGGTTTTCTCTTTTGCCTTCTGAGTGTTTAGTCAGGTTTAACCTCCAGTAGCCAAATAAGTGTTCCCAAAGTACTCAGAATCTATCAAGCTTGAGAAATTAACTTGCCATAACCTCTCGACTGCAGTCAGTTTCAAAAGAAAATCCTGTTAAAAATCTACGTTCATATGTAGAATTCTGACACTGGTTACAATAATTCATTCCAGTGTCCATTTCCTGAGGTATACTCTACCCTGCAGTGTAGTCAGCTGAAACATACAGAGATGAATAAGACACACCCCACAATGGTGAACTACAAGCAGAATTGGTCTAGGATTTTGACATGATTTCCAGTGCAGCTAGCGTATTCTCTTCTAGACTTTGTTTAGCTAGTCTGTGGTAGGCATTATTATTCCATTGCATAAAAAGTGTGTGATAAAATTGGTGTTTTCTAAATGTCTCTATTACTGGAAAGACTTCAGTCAGACTTCATGTTCTCTTCATTTCATGGTATAGACCTCCTTCCTTACTGATATGAGTCCAATTGCGGAATCTCCTGAACCTGAGGAAAATGTTATAAGTGAGGAAAGAGAAGTAAAAGAGGAAAAGGGAGAAGAAATCCCTGAAAATGCAAACACTGAAAAGATTTCCATGGAAACACTACTCAGAGTGTTCCGAGGAGGAAATGAAGCACAGGACCCTAACAGATTTTCCAGCCAGCTAAAGATGGAGAACATTTATGCAGAGGTTGGTGAGCTTATTTCATAAAGGGAAACCTGTACAAAAGAAAAATTGCCCTCAATTTTTAACATATTTTCATGGAATTGCTCTCAAAATATATCATTGTATAGAAATTATGGCAAATTACTTTATTAAGTAAAACCGTTTTTTAACATCTGCAAGACTGTGAAGTTAATTAACCTTATTTTTTCTTCTTTAAAGAACTTCATAAAAGTATTTCAGGACCTAGATGCCAAGAATCTGGAGGCAATTGAAGTTGCTGTTCTTTTGAAACATCCTTTTATTCAAGACCTGATTTCAAGTTATTCAGACTATAGAATTCCTGTGAGTATTAACCAAAGGTGTCCTAATTCAGTTGAGCTCAGGTTTAGGGCATGGTGGGACATCTCTAATGTGGACCAGCAGAGAAGGGGAAGAAGCTGAACTTGGCCAGAACAGGGTCAGGGAAGCTAAGTTGGTAATAGCATCAGGCAGAAAGACCAGCCCACAACACCCAAATGGCAGCCAGGTCAGGCATAGTAGCAGTAGCTATCAGTACTATGGATAGTACTGCCAGTGCTGTGGAGCTGCTTCATCAGGACTGTGGGGCTACCTTGCATCTACAACAGAAGGCTGGAGGTAGGTGATAGTTAAAGTTGAGTGGTTGTCAATATTAGTATTGTGGATCATTCCAGCCATCTAATGACTCTAGCCTATGATTTGAAAGTATGGAGAATAGAATACGCCCTTGCCAAAGAGAACTAAGGAGTCCGTGATACCCAGCCAAGTGCCGACGTATTCATTGTGCTCTAATCATGATATACATTATCTACACAGCGCATACAATGACAATGCATACTCAAGATTGGGTGCCAGTTCCATCAGGGAAACAGTATGCAAGATGGGGAAACTGAGGACAAAACTCATAGAGACTGGACCAACCCAGCAAAAGAAAGGAAAGAAGAAAGGAAGAGCTGCACCTCAGAGCTCACATAGTAACCAAGCAGGTCTCAACCACATGTGCCGAATGTGCATCCTCCATGGCAAGTCCCAGGTCTCCCACAGCAAGGGCTAGGGAAGGCAGAGGCTGACCCCTTTCAGAGCATGGCAAGTTGCTACAACCCTCCCACATACTGGTTCGATAGCATGAAGTCTCCCTATTTGGCTCCTGCTAGATGTTTATTAAAGTATAAAGGATTTGCTGAGTTTAAGATAAAAGGGCTTTGACTTTGACAGAATGAAGGTAGTCTAAGATGCATTTCTCCTGACTTCTCAATGATAACCACTTATCTAGACTTAAATATTGTTGTCCTTAAATTTATTTGTTCTAAATTGCTTATCCTTTTTTTAAAAATATAAATTGTCTTACCTATGTTGGTAATAATTGAAATTGATTTCTAACAAGCTCGCAGACACTAAGCTCCTCCCATAGTGAAGTGTGACTATAGCATTTAAGAACACAGGCTCTGGAATCAGAAAGTCATGAGACTGGATCTCAGGTCTACCACACATTAGATACCTGACTTTCTCTTGATCCTGACTTTCTCATCTGTTGAATGGGGATAACAGCCCTTCCTATTCAAAGGGTTGCAGTGAGGATTAAATGAGATTGTGCGTATAAAGCACTTGGCGTGGTATCTGACACATGGTAAGTACTACAGAAATGATGGCTGTTATGATTACTGTTCAATACTGAGCATTTACTCCTGAGGCTGCTAATGTAGGATTCCACGGGAGATGGAAGAGTAAGTACTAAACTCAGTTGCTGCTCTCAAGCAATCCACTTGTTTGCAAGAGAATTTTTACATCAGGAATCACAAGAGCGTGATATAAGGTAAACCACCCAAATACAAAATTACAGAAATTCAAAACATCGGAATTTTTTTTCTAGAAGTGGTCTTGAAAGATGGCCAGTGTTTTGAACAGTGTCGGGAGAGAAGAGGAGGACTGCATGGATTTTCCTGTTGGAGTGGAGAGGGGAGCATCCTAGGTGAAAGGAGAGGCCTGGGCAAAGGCGTGGAAGCAAGACTGCATGGGAGGAGCGGGAGCCCATGGGTCAAAGAGCAGTGGGTGAAGGTTTAGAGTCATTTAGTGGGTGAAGGTCCCGTCGATTCATATGATCAGGACAGATTGCAAAGAACCCAGAAGTCACATGGAGAAATTTGGTTTCGATCTGAAAAGCGAAGGAAACTGGATAGGCTTCTAAGCGGGAGCATTATGCAATATTAATTTCTTCATCCCTAAGTATTTGTCTCTTAACCATGTCATATCATTATGTCTCTACATTTAACAAGATTCTTCTTTAAATTTTTTATGTCTCTATTTAAACAGGTCCCAAATACTTGGAAACACAGTTGGCAGTTATTCCAAGTTGTTGCACTCAGACATTCCACAACACTTACCATTCGCATGGAAACTGATATGTTACATGTCCCTTTTCAGCATCTTATATTTCATGCTTTGATTCTTGAAGATCAGCTTTCTTCCCCACTTTGGATGAGGAGGGTATAAGTCAGTGTGACCCTAGAATTAGTGAGGAGAGAGCACATCAGAACGAGACAAAGGGGTGGAGAGAGGCGGGTGAATCAGTGTCACAAGCAGCATGGGGGAGAGTCACCAGCTGTGGGACCCTCCCCACTTCTGCTTTCCTCTCAGCAAATGGCATTCTGCGTAAGGTAGGTTCCAGAGGCCCAGGGCTTTGGACTGCATTTTACACTACACGTTCTATTCCATGTTTCAGGGAACAGCCCTTTTATTTTGAAGCAGCAAAACAATTTTTAAATTCCCTTAGGATTATGTATAATAGCATTTATCTTATTCTACCGAGAACAAGTAGGAGTATAAATTGATGCCACCATTAATTCCTCCCATAATGGGAGGAAAGCTCCCTACAAAGTCAGGACGATTTGGGAACATCCTTACACTGGCCAGAATGACTAAATATGATTCATTTGCAGAGAAGATTCTATCTGGCATTTTCCTGAGAAAAGAAAACAGCCAACAGATGACTGCCTTCGAGAATCAGCCCCCTGAAGAGGTGTTCTGACTCCCAGGGAAGACTGGAGTCCACAGGGCTCCTTTTAATTTGGGTATTTCCCTCATTTTGGAAGGAGTATCGTCAGCTTGGAGTGTACCTCAGCTGGAGTGCTGCTGGCATTTTGGACAGCACGGTTCCTCTTTGAGCAGGACTATCTCTAGTCTGGCAGGATGTGCAACATTCTCGACCGCTACTCATTATGTTCCAGGAGCACCTTGATATACTGGCCACCAAAACTACCTCTGCACATTCCTCAAATCTTCCCTGGTGCACAGGACCCCTCTGGCTGAGAGCCACTCAACTGGAGGGTGTCTGACCTCCAATGAGCCAGTCTCGCGGTACCCGACGCTCTAATAGCAGAAAGAGTTAGTTTGTCTGTCAGTCAATCCGTCCATCCATTTTTCCGTTCCTTTGTTGGTAGAGTGTTCCTATTGAGTAGGCTTCTTCAACTCTTGCTCTCCTCTCCTTTCACATCTCCTGCCTGTCATTCCCCTAAGGAATCTAACGAGAGCACAGTGGACCACCATAATCAGGACTCATCCATATGATAGTGAATCAAGGAGAGTTGAGCCTATACCCTGAAAAGCTTAAATTCTGATGTTCTAAATGAAAGAGGTTCCCTTTCCAGTAAGGGACTCTATTCTGATTTTCACTAAGCAAAAAAAGAAAAGAAAGAAAGGGAAAGAAAAAAAAATCTCTGAAGACTCAGTTACCATCACACTCGTCCTGTCATCATTTTTTGCTCCAGATATCCATGTACAAGAAAATAGACCACATTTTAAAATGAACTTTAACCACAGTGCTGTTATTTGAAGATCTTTCAAGATAAAGTAGAGCAAAAGCTAGAGTGTGGTTTTTCAGGTTAAAATGCTGTTTGCTGTTACAAACAGCGGGAGTGAAGGTTGTTGCCTAACACTCGGTGTTTACAAGGTTCATGTTTGGAAGCAGCAACATTTTAAAATACGCATTTGAAAAAACCAAGTACGTGTAATTATTTTGATATGTTTTATTTTTGCTCCTATGGGAGGTGACCTGGCTTTGTGGTTAGGAGAGCCAGCTCTGGAGCCAGACTGATTGGTTCACACCCACAAACTGTGTGACCTTGGGCAAGTGACCTCATGGTGCCTTGGTTTCCCCATCTGTGAAATAGGGTTGATGATCATACACACCTCATTGTTTCTTGTATGTATTAAACATCTTCATACATATAAAGTGCTCCACTCAGTGCTTGGCAGATAGAAAGCACTCAACACATGTTAGACATTATTATTATTATTATTACTGGTCTGTTGGTAGTTGTAGCACACAGGAAATATTTCTGAGCCCTGTGAAATTATATGTAGATGGATTAATATGCTGGCCTTTCATCTCCTGACTTCAGTGTCTGCTCTTTGGAAAGACAGAAGGCTTTTGCTGGTACAGTGCCTTGATGACAAAGGTTCACACTGAGGTCCCAGGAAGCCCCATGTGTCAATATCTATGTGGAAGATCCAGATTTTGTGTTGGGTTTTATAGTTATTCAATTAAAGTCAGTTATTTAACTTCTGCTTTCATAGATCTCATACAAAGAGGTTATTTTCAAGTAATGTTCCTAAATTTTATTGTGAAAATGCTGAGGTTAAACGTAACAAGATCAGTGAGGATACTGTAACTGGGTTGTTAGTAAAGTCAATTAATTTCCTCTGACAAATATATTTACAAATATAAGTGAACACACAATTTTTCTATACCAACCAAACAAATGTAGTTTCTTCTAATGAACACGCACTGAATTAATGCAAATTTCTTTTAGCAAACCTGTAAATCAAGCATATAACCTTAAAATTAAGGTTTCCATTCACTAAAGCTTTTAGTGTTAAAGTCAGAATGTCGCAGAAGAATTTCTTATAAACGAATGAGTCACGACAAAATACCTATAAATATAAATATAAGGAACTTTCATCCCATTTGTCTTCAAGGCATCTGACTTTAAAATGTGCTCCAACCTTCTCCTCTATCCTTATAACAAATATGATGGCTGTTTCAGTGCACCCAGATCAAATATTTCCAGACTCTCTCAGGCTTTTCTCCATTAACTGCTACTGACAATTATGGCCCCTGATTTCAGCTATAAACTTAGCCAAGGCTGGTTTAAATATCTGGAGCTTATAATTTTCCCCATGCTATAGAGTATCAGATAATCACAGGTCAGATCATTAAATAATCCCCAAATTAACATGCAATAGTCAGCATTAGTTACTGTAGATACAGTGTACTACTCAAAGAAGACATGTTATTAAGAATTGTCATGGGTAGGACCACAAAGGTCAATGGTGAGCAGCTGTTCTTTTTCCCTTAGATTGCACAAGATTGACCTTTGGCTGTAGATCTATATTTTCAACGAACAAAGTCCCTCAAGAAAATGATTCACTATGATTCCCAGCAGTGACTGATACAAGCAATGTGCATGTCACTTGGCAGGGCTCAGCTCAGATAATGAACTAACTCGGGTCTTTGTGAGTAAAATGACAACAGTCAAATTGAAATCTTTGGAACTCAGCTCTGAAGGAAAGAAACATATTCTTTTTTTTTTTTTTTTTTAGGAAGATTAGCCATGAGCTAACTGCTGCCAATCCTCCACTTTTCGCTGAGGAAGAGTGGCCCTGAGCTAACATCCATGCCCATCTTCCTCTACTTTGTATGTAGGACGCCTACCACAGCATGGCGTGCCATGCTGTGCCATGTCCACACCCGGGATCCAAATTGGCAAACCCCGGGCTGCCGAAGCAGAATGTGCGCACTTAACTGCAGCGCCCCTGGTCTGGCCCCAAAAGAAACATATTCTTAAAGCCTTTTCCTAAATTTGTGGAAAAAGCCCTAGAAACTGCATAAATATAATTCTACATTTTCACATGTGTTTGTACCCCTTCTACAGTGTAATAAATTTTAAATTTACTTTAAAAATATCTGCGATTTAAAATGTAAGATAGCTGGGTATTTGAAGTGGACAAAAAACAGATCATTCTAACCCTGATATTGAAAAAACATGGGGAAATGAGACAAGCTGCCCCCACCCCCAATAATCTACTGTTCTGACATTCTACAAAGCTGAATATGTGGTTAATTTGGCATTAGAATTTTCCTTTAATAGAAGTGAATGCTGATTTTTATTCGTTAATAGAGAAATAACCTTTTGGCTTGCCCATTAGGTGCCAGACTCTGTGCAACTGCTTTTACAAATGTTATTTAATCTAATATGACAACTCCATTATTCGATAAGGAAACTGAAGCTCCAAGATCTTTGATATCTTTCCAAGGGTACAACTAGCAAGTTGCAGGGCAGAATTCAAACTAAATAGAGAACAATTTTCTGAAAGAAAAAAATAAAAATAAGAACAACTTACTGTTTAATCACTAGCATAGATTAGATGATCATTAATCCTAAGTCATTCATTAATGTTTGTAACTTTTCTTTGAATCTCTTCTCTTAGGATATTAAAATGATTCTCCAAAGGAGTGAGCACGTACAAGGAAGTGATGGAGAGCGATCTCCTTCAAGACTTACAGAGGAGAAGAAATGAAGACAAAAGAGTGTGATTTTTATAACTTGGCAATGAGTCTTCCCAACATCATATGTAAACATAGTCTCTGTCATATATGTTATCATTGTAACTGTAGAAATGACCCCTACCAGGTTATGAGGGGGCACTGAAAAGGGAGCTGCCCTTACCTCAGAGAATAGTCTATAATAAACCTTAAATTTCAAAGCAAAAATCCAAAGTGAGAATGAATGCATTTTGAAGTGATTCTGAAAATAGAAGGCACCAGAACAATATGTTCAAAAATAAACAGACACATAAGTCTTGAACAGTCCCTACGGGAAGTACCTACATTAGGCAGACAGAGTGAAAATTCCCCCAAAGCTCCACGTCAGGGCAGTACTGCAGTGGACATTTTCTAATTCTTGCTCTGTGTGCAGGAAAATCCCAAGTTTCATCCCACTAGCCAAGGAGAAGGCTGCATTATCAATTGCCAGTATGTCATGCTCCTAGCGTCTATTCATGATTCTTGCTTAATAGAATAGAATGTTTCCTGTATAAATAGATGCACTTGCACAATTGTACCTTTTTACTTGTATAAATTAGCGACTCAAATTCAATGATGCTTATCTCAAGGTGTTGTGTGTGTGTGTGTGTGTGTGTGTGTGTGTGTCTTCTGAGTGACAATGTATTCTTGCTGGGCTCCTATGAAACGCCCTCTAAGTCGCTTCACTGGCTGCTCCTTCTGAGAATCTCTTGCTGATCGTCCTCTTCTACTCAAACTCTAAATGTTGGAGAGTTTCAACACTCAGCCTTCTCTGTCCACAGTCAATCCCTGGATGAGTCATCTATTTCCATGACTTTGTGGGTATTAAAAAGGCTAATGCTGAAATTTCTATTCCCATCTTCCCTTGAAATCCAAATGTCTATCTTACTGTCCACTAGATTGCCACATGGAGGCTCAAAGTCATTGCAAACTCAACATGTCCACAGCCAACAGAGGGAGCCTTCTATAATGCAAGTCAGGTCATGTCACCTCTCTGCTCCCTTTACTGGCATCCTGTCTCACACAGAGTCTAGTCCAAGTCCTCACCTTGACCTTACCCATTGCTAACTCTCTGATCTCATCTCCTGCTATTCTCCTCTGCCCACTCTGCTTAAGTGACAAATTCCCCTTGTTGATCCTCGAACATACTAGGCACCCTCCTGCCTGGGAGCCTTTGCACTTGTTTTCCTCTCTGCCTGGAATGATTTTCCCCAAATATCTGCATGGCTTGACTTCCTTCAGGTCTGTGTTCAAATGACACTTGGTCAGTAAGACCTTCCCTCAACACATAATACAAAATAGAAATAACCCACCACCTCCACACACCTCATCCCCACTTTAATTTTTTTTCCATTGCACTTAACATCTGACAAAGTACATCTTTACTCTTTTGTTTCTTGGACACTCCACTAGGTTGTAAGTTCCATGAAGTCAGAGATTATGTGTGTTTTCTTTTTTTTAATTTTTTTTTTGAGGAAGATTAGCCCTGAGCTAACATCTGCTGCCAATCCTCCTCTTTTTGCTGAGGAAGACTGGCCCTGAGCTAAAACCCATGCCCATCTTCCTCTACTTTATATGAGGGACGCCTGCCACAGAATGGCTTGACAAGTGGTGCCATGTCCGTACCGGGGATCCAAACCTGCGAACCCGGGGCCGCCAAAGCAGAACGTGGGAACTTAACTGCTGTGCCACTGGGCCAGCCCCTGTGTGTTTTCTTTATTGGTATGCTTTAGAACCTAAGACTAAAGTCATAGCCAGCTTTAAGTTGTGTCGATATATTTGTGTAAAATGTGTGCAAATATCACATTTAGATTGATCACTAACAATGAGCAATCCAAAGATAATTTCTATTGTTAGTGGGAATTATATTCTACTTCTAGAAAATGACACATTTCCTAAATTTGCTTCTATTTGGCTCCATTCCCAGAACCTTGTCTTCAAGATGATGGAGGATGGTGACCCAGAATCATGCTTGGGAGATGAAGACGAAACTCTTGCTAGAAATTTCAAAATTTCAACTTAGCTGATTCACATGTAATTCTAGCTATTCTAGAAAAGGAAGTAGAGGAATATCTGAAAATAGAGTTCAAAGAAATCATAATAGGGCACAGCCGGTAAACTCATCCACATGTCATTAAAGATTGAGCAAGACAGGGCAACATTACATTGCAATGGAAAAAAAATAAAAGCAGAAGCAACAGCATTCGTTGCTCTAATAATGTTCTTGCACGATGTTATTACGTAAGGAAATAGCAGAATCTCCTTCCTGAGGCCAAATAAACCCATCTGAACGGTAGGAGACCAACCACTACTCAAAAGGCCTCCCCAGTGCATATTTGCCACCACATCACAAGCTTAATCATCATCAGGACTGAGCAGATCTGGTGACTGGGCAAGACCCAGAGATGTAAGAGGAGCTCTTCCACTGCAGGTTCTGGAGCAGGCGAGGGGTGGAACTTCACGCTGAGGACAGAGACTGCCTGGGATTTCCCAGAGGAAGGAAGAATGTACTAGAAGCTCATCTCCCTGAGGGCCTCTCAAGTCTTATAATTCTAGTGAATGCTCAGCCATCATCAAATCATTCTGATGCTGCTTTTGCACTGAATGTTACCGTGTCTTCCCACTACTGCTTTTGTGAGATGGATCTGAAATCTTTTATTCTGGTTGCTCTCCTCTGGATATACTGTCAAGATACGTTTCTTAATGTCCCAGGATATCACAGTGATTGGGTGCGCGTGCACGTACATGTGCACGTGCGTGCACACACGTGCACACACACACACACTGTGTGTTTTGAGGAGTCTGTAGTGACCAAAAGAAACTGATGACTTATATTAAACTTACAAATAACTAAAACATCTAAGCTTATGTTTCACGTGCTTTAGTTAAAACACGTTCCACCTATCCTAACAGTGGCCACTTTTTTAAAAAATTAAAGAACAGGTTTTTACATATAAACCTATTAAAATTCATCCTCCAAATATGTCCTCCTATTTTATTCTGTCATGGTTTTAAAAGAAAATTTATAACCCAATTCCATCACCCAGCACATGTGTATTGTCTGCTTATGTGGTAGCATACCTGTCCTGGTCCCGGGACCCTGGGGGAGGAAGGCGTCTCACTCTCTCTCCTGGGAAACTCCTGGAGCCTCAAGCTGCTTGTTCTTTCCTGTGGAAGCAGCTGTGGTCTCCTGCAAGTCCTTGTCTAATTTAAAACCAAAGAGTTAATCAGATTTTAAATCTCTCAAAGAAGGCTGTACATTTCAGGACTCTGAAGAGTCAACCCAAACACCAATGTTGAAAAGCCAACCCTAAAGAGACAGGCCACCATGTCATATGATAAACAGCTGAGCCCACGACTCTAGCAGGCAGTGGTTCTGAGGTACATTATTGCAGTTGTAGCACGTTAGATTACAAAATTGGGGGATCACTCAGAACTCATTTTAAAATTGTCAAAAAGTAACATGACTGTCTTTCCTATGAAAAGAAAGGGAAGCTGAAGCTATTTTCTATTTAATTATAGCACTAATGGTATCTCAGTAAAGGGATTACCTGGGTAAAAGATGGTAAAGGAAAGCACAATAGTCATTAATCTACGGTACATGCAAAAAACACCTCCTTTACCACTTCCATTGGTTCCTACACACTCTAAGAGAGGCGAAGCTGGTGAAGTGCACTATTTTACCCATGCATTTCTTTCTCTTCTCTTTCTTCCCCTGAATAGCTCTCTTCTTCCTTCACACCTGACTCTCAAGCCCACTTATTTCAAGGATCCAGTTTTTCCTCTTTAAAAAAGACTGATGTTTTGGATTAATTCCTGAGAAAAACCTGCAAGGGAGTCACCATTTGTTCTAAATCATTGGTTACGGAGGTGTCAGCATGGACTGCTTGAAATAGCTACTTCCAGATCATTTCCTGCCGACATAACATTGGCCTCATTGGAAGTTTATGCCATCTATGGCTACCTTCTCCCCATCCTCATCAAACTCACCCACCAAATTGTCATCCTCATCGATGTATTCCATGATTTGC